AAAAACATAAAACTTTGTAAAGCTGGAGGTTAGAGGTTGTTAAGCCAATGAACGTCTAAATACCACTGCAAGCATTTCTTCACTATAATGCCCCAGCAAAATAAAAGTTAGTTCAAATGAAATATATATATATATATATATATATATATATATATATATATATATATATATATATATATATATATATATATATATATATATATATATATATATGCTATTGAGCACCCTACGCTCTAAATATACACTACACCACAACACTAAGATTGGCGATGGACAATTTGACGCTAAAAATGGATATAGCGACAGACGATCTGTCGCTAAAAAGTTACAGCGACATACTTTATCCAGACGGTGTAAGTCCTATCGCTAAAAACCTTAAGTTACAACGACAGACTTATCCAGACGGTCTAAGTCCTATCGCTAAAAACCTTTAGCGACAGATTGTCAGATGCCCTAAATATTTATAGCAACAGATAGTCCATTGCTACTTTTTAACGACAAATGCTTTGTTACCAAGTATATACCGACAGATCATCCAATATCCCATGTATTTATAGCGACAGATTGTTCTAACAGGACAATATAAATATACCAAAAAAACTAAATACAATTAGAAAACATTTAGCACATATCAAACCCAAGCTTAATGTCCATCACATAAAGATATAGAAACACATACATCACATGGAGGTCAAACACATATATAACATACAATCGCTGCTGTCTTTGCTCTGTGCTTCTGACCAGTGTATGTTTGAGCGTCTGGGCGTGCTCTCTCCAAGCTGCTGTAACTATCCGCTTTCTCGACATTGATCAGCTCTACAACTACAGAGTTTGGCTCAGTTTATGTTACTTTCAGCAACTCGATTATCTTATTTGGAATGCAATAGTGAAGTTATTTGTCCTTGTAGGCTCACTCGGTTGCATGCTGGTAGCTAGTAATAGTTTTACCATGTTAAACTTGGTAAATTTTAGATTTAAAGTTGCCTTGGTTCAGTACAGTAGCAGCAGCAATAGAGTTAAACTTGGTAAATTTCAGATTTATTGGCTAATTTGGATAAATTCTGTACTCCACTTTCTCTCAGCGACGATTTACGTTAAGTTAAACTTGGTTAAACATAGTCACCTGGTGTTAATTTCTATGTGCTGAATTTAGTCACTAGGTTTTTACAAGTTGTCACTAGGTTTGTACATAGTCTGATTAATGTAAATTTAGGGACATACCTGCAGACAGTGCCCTTGAGAGGTCTAGATGCCTTCTTGCATTCCTTTATCTATCACAGATATGTTTAATTAGGAACATTGGTCATGCATCACAGATCAAACCAAAAAAACTAATTATTGATGTACAGATTATGTACAGATTGTACTAAGCTGCTATTAATTGGTATGTGGGTATTAGATTGCTACAAAAAAACTGATTATTGATGTACAGATTATGTATAGATTGCACTAAGTCGCTATTGATGCACAGATTATACTAGCTGCTATGAATTGGATAACTTGCACAAGGGCAGACAATGCTATACCTGCAAGTCATCCCAAACTTGAAGCTTCTTTCCAAGGGGAACAACCCTCCAATCATTAAATCGAACTGGTAATTTCTTTCTCACTTGACAACCAATGCCACTAGCAAACTTCCTATAATTTTCTCCGGCAGTACTTGAATCTGTTGACCGCAAGCAATGAGAAGAGGACGACGTCGATGTAGCAGAATTGCAACTCGTTGGAGTTAGTAGGCCAGCTCCACAGTACTTTCACCTAGGGGGCTGAAATGAATAAGAAAGAATAACCCAGCTATGCCTAATTGTAACACTGGAAAACAACAATCTCTTAATTTACTAAATATATCAAGGCCTTGTTAATTGTAGGATGATCTCTTGAACTTAGACATGCTGGATGTACTCAAATATAAGTGAAACGGAGCATGTTCAGAAAGCATGGAAATTAATTTCTTCAGTAGCTAGCGAAAAAAAATTGATGCACATAATGGACGAACCAACACCACTGTTTTGAACTTACAAGAAAAGAACTGATAATTTAAACATGGAGTGCAACAAACGAAGCTGATGGATCGAAGCTCCCGGAGGTCAGCTCAATGGAAGAACTAAAACTTATTGGGTCAACCGAGCAGGTATTTACACCAAACAAATTGTTTTGGGTAATGGGTCATCGGGTTGACCCATTAAAATCTGCATGCCTACATCCAGGGGTTATATAGGCTGCTTTGTTGACTTATTTCAGAGGTAATAAATGACTATCACAATGACTGCACATCCCAATTTAGATGGATAATACAAGCAGCAACAGTTTTATTGCATAATCAGTCCTTTGTCCTCCTTGAGTGCATGCAGTGTATGCACGGTTCACATCAATCCTACTATCAGCAAGATTCATACCAAGGGCCTTCCTTGTACTGACAGTAATACAGACTCTTAGAAAGGGAAATCATCCGCTGGTTAGAACTATCTTGGGAGGATGATCCAATAAGGTGATTTATGTGTCAATCGGCCATGCTAAAGTGTTAACACTAGCTATGTAATTGAAATTTCCCATCCCCAAGTATCTGCAATCTGACTACCTTTGTCTCGTGTACCCCTCTTCCGTTGGTTCAGATTTTATATCCAGCTCAGCTAATGAACACTGAATAACTGGACACCATGTTTTTGATCTATATGTGCACAAAGTAGAACAACATAAGCTAAATAGGTCAAACAAACATAAGGCAGGGATGTTTACCATGTTTCAATTGTACGATATAATGCCGCTGAGCTTACAAAGCATGTCAGTATACACGACACTAGGGCTAAGAGCAATGGCTGCCAATTCAGGAGGCAGCTGTTTCACCAAGGAGTGTGTCAAGCTCTCAATCACCTACTTCGAAGCACAATATGGAGCAACCTGAAATGGCAATATGCAATTTAGTATGTACTGTGGATTTTGATTCAACAGAAAAACCACTATAATGCATTCGATGGCTTTCTGTCCGACCTCTGCAGCAGCAGATCTTTGCCAAACAGAGAATAGATTGATTATAATCCCATGTATCTTCTCTATCATAAGTGGCACAAAATGGCGAAACACATTTGCTGCTCCCCTGATATTTGTATCGGCCACCGTATCAAAATCTTCTGCAGGAACATTCCATGTCTTGTTATTCTTGGTTATTGTACTAGCATTGCTTACTGCCAGAATACCTCAAGAGTTAGAATCCAGGAAATCTTCTTTGTGCATATATTCACTAAATCAAACCAAAGCTTTACACCTACTAATTTCCACCGGTAGAAAACCAGATCTGAGACTGAGAGAGAGCACAGCAGTTCCTCACGTCCACAGGAAGGGCTCCGACGGCATGCGGCCGAGAAACCCAAGATGCGCCGGCGTGGAGACAGCCACCCCCGCATCGTGGATCCCAGATTGCGATGTTGTGGGAGGCGGCTCGGGCTCGCAGAGAGGCCGCCACAGGCGCGGACGCACGGGACGTAGCAGGCCGGCGCCGATATGCGGGAGGCGACGGCCGCCGCGGACGCGAGGGAGAGGCCCGGCGGCGCGCGTGTGGGAGATGCCCAGCTGCGTGGAGGCAGCGCTGCCCCCAGGATGCATGGAGGAGGCTCGCGTGGATCTGGGATTGGGGAGGGGAAAAGTGAGCGGCTGTAGCCCTGTAGGGTAAGGTCTCTAGACGAGTTGATAGAAGCAACAGAGTTTTTTTTTTTTTCCTCAGCATGTGGCTCCGAGAGATTTTAGATTTAGGACAGGCAGCGTGGAGGAAGGCGCGAAAGGATGAAAATCAAGCGCGCTGCCAAATATTGGGCGGCAATGCAACCCTAAATTAACATGTGAGCTCAACCTATATAAAAGGTAAACAACAGAAAGAAAATTCCATTACCCTGAATTTTTTTTTGCTGTAGGGAAACCTACAGGGTTATTCTTATTACCCTGTAAGTAAACCAAACATAAACCAAATATCCCAATGAGCTTTTTATATACCGGTAGAGAAAAAAACAGCACACAAAAAAAATCCTATTTCCAGTACTGCCCGGGCACTCACGTGACAGGTGGCTGTGTCGACATGGGACGTGAAGAATTAAAATAATGTGGCACGCTTTTCTTCATGTTAAAATTAATTTATTTAAAATATGTGATGAATAAATATTGTCATAAATTGATGATGATGATTATTTAGCATGTTAGAAAGAATTACTATTCATTGTAAAATACGAGTCATCTAGGCTACGACGATTTTTACTAGATCTTGATGATGAACACATAATTTTTGTTATAAAGTCATCTTCCCACCAAAAAAACATCATAAAACAGGATGACTTAGCGACGAATTTAGCCGTGGTCATGGGAAAATCATCGTAGAAGGTCATATCTCTTGCAATGGTAGAGGGTGGCGAGTGCAACAGCTTTGGGGAGGGAGACTGGGAGAGGGGCGAGGCGGGCGGGAGCTTTGGGGCGAGCCAGATTTCGGAGAGCGCAGCGGAGATGGAAAAAAGGCGGCGCCACCTGGATTTTGGATCTGGGAGAAGAAAATGGTCTAAGGTTTCTCATTGTATTTGTGGGCTAGGCTAAAATTTTCCACGCAAACTCAATGTAAGCGGGTGCGCGAACTCAATGTAAGCCAGGTGTGCGAGCTATGTGGGGGCACTTCTTTTTGGCGATAGATAGATTGATGGTACACCTATTTTTAGCGACAGACAGTGCAACGTTAAATATGATTACTTATAGCGACAGACAATAAATCGTTAAATGATGAATTAGCGACAGATCATCTGTGAGTTATCTTTAGCGACAGATCATCTATCGATAAATGTAATTTTTAGCATCACATGTATGACAGTGTTAGGGTGCAGTGATAATTTAGAGCGCCAGCGGAGCGCCACCCAGCTCCGGCGAAGACCGTTTCCCTAATCACGATCCGCAAACATAAATAAAATATCCACAACCGTAAGTATCCAATGGCATCATATATACTCCACTGTTCTCTTTTCTCTCTCTTATTTTTCTTTCGCCTTCCTCATTTGTCTAGATCCAAATCTCAGAGCGATGGTGCTCAGCAGCGCATGGGGAGGCTGGGGGCCGCCGCTGCCGCTCTCTTCCCTTCCACCGGCGGCGCCCTCCCCCATGGCACCGGTGTTGGTGCCCTCGTCCACCCTTCCCTGCCCAACGGCGGCCACGGCGCCCTCATCCACGCCACCAGCAGCGGCCGATGGCGGCGGCGGCGGCCGTCCCGTCAACGGCGCGGACCGGCCTCTTCCCCAACCGGCGGCGCGTGGCTTCCCCTCCACCAGCAACGGTACATGTTGAGCGTCATCCCCTTCACCGGCATGGGGTGCGGCGGCCCTCCCACACCCCTTCCCATCTAGAGGTGAGAGAAGATCCATGGAGGAGGAGGACAGATCCATGGTGGTAACGGCGGCGCGGGTTCCTTCCACCATGGCAGCGGAGACATCCCGTCTAAATCATAGCGGCGGCGGCGGCCTCCCCTCCAACGGCGTGCACGATGCTCCCTGCATCAGCGTGGTCGGTGACCCCTCCATCGGCTAGGACGTCCGACGTGGCCCCTTGTCCCTTCCGGCAGCGGCAGTGGAGTCCTTTCCCAACCCACCTGGCGGCGCTCCTGTGCCCTGCGGATCCTGGCGTGCGATGCAATGCTGGCCACGGGCTCCACGGTAAGCTAGCTGCAGGGAAATGGTTCCCAAGAAATGCGTTGTTGCCAACGACTGGCACATATGTGGATCTGTGCGTACAAATCCCAGGAACAGCGGCTGCTAGATCTTTTTGATGGATTTTGTTCGTACAAAAATACAAATGAGTTTGTTTGATTTTGGTTCAAAAATTCATGTACAATGTACTAATGATGAACGAGGAATTATTACTATTTGATTCTTGTTACTTTCTGGCTTCTTACTACTGGAAAAGCACCAAATTACTGCTCCAATGTTACTGCTACCATGTTATACTGTATCGTATTGCCATATGTGCATTTTACGGTTTCAGTTTTGGAATAGTTGTTTTTACTTTTTGGATGAGCTACTATTTGATTTTTGTTATTTTCTGGCTGATTACTATTGCAAATCACCAAATTACTTCAGTGTTATATTTGTATTGTACTGCCAAGGGATTATTTTTACGGTTTGGATTTTGGGACCGGTGTTTTAACTGTTTGGATGAACAATGTACTTTTGCAAAGGAGAAAAAGAATCTAACTGTTTGGATATTAAGAATCTTACTACTATTGTTTCGATGAACAACGTGAAAAATCTTACTACTTGTTTACAAAAGGAGAAAGATTTCAGAAACTTACTACTATAGTTTAGAAAAAAGAGAGAGTTCAGTGACCAATTATGTAAAGTTTACTACGATTGGACATGGTTTTATGGCTATTTTTATTGTGTAACATGTTTTCTGTTGCGGAAGTATTAGTGCGCAGGAGAGGTAATTACTACTATAGCTCAAAGATCAATTCTTACTACTTGACTTCAGAGATCAATTCGATCTATATATTACTACTTGATTTATGTTCAAAAAAGAAATATTACTACTTGATTACGACAAATATTTGAGTGATCGGCCATTAACTCAATGTCGTCATCATGCTTGAATTACTACCATTCTCATGTTGGCAGTAGACACATGCACATGCATTGTCCTCCGGTTGGTAACCAGCGCCGACCACGGTAGGATTAGTTACTATAAATATTGGTTCTTTAATAGCTTCTGACTCCGATGAGATTTTACAGCTGCTGCAGTCGCCTTTTACAGCACTCCGTCTCCATGTTCCTTGCGTATCCATCCACAATTAGAAATAAACAAAGCATTAACTTCCTTGGTTATAGCCATCTTACGGTTAATTAACTTCCTTAATTATAGCCATTTACGGTTAATTGAGGAGCAAACTCTACGGTGCCATTCGGCTGACCTTAAAAGTCGGTTTGTTCGGCTTCTTTTTTCAGCTGGAACAGTATTTTTCTCTCACAACAATTCTGTCGGAACAGTGTTTTTCAGTCGAACCAAGCCAAACAAACAGTGTTTTTCAGCCAAATACATGCTTGAATATTTTAACCGCAATAGAGACATGCATGCAGGGACACCTAGCTCCATATTCCTTGCGTATCCATCCACAATTAGAAAGAAATAAAGCATTAACTTCCTTTGTTATAGGCAATTTACGGTTAATTAACTTCCTTAAATATAGCCATCTACGGTTAATGGAGGAGGAAACTCTGCATGATTGAATATTTTAACCGTAATAGAGACATGCATGCACGGACACCTGGTTCGTAACATGCATGCAGCGTTGTCGGTAGCATTAATGAGACTGAAAATTGATTTCTTGTTTGATTATACGCCTGGGGCCTTGTTTAGATACCCTCAAAATTCCAAGTTTTTTCACTCTCTCTCCATCACATCAATTTTTAGCCGTTTGTATGGAGCATTAAATGTAGGTAAAAAAAATAACTAATTGCACAGTTTAGTTGGAAATCACGAGATGAATCTTTTGAGCTTAGTTGGTCCACGATTGGACAATATTTACCAAATAAGACGAAATTGCTACTATTCATCGGATTGAATTTTTTTTCAATCTAAACAAGGCCTGGGAAACGAGTTTACGGTTGAGACTTGAGAGCTCGCGTGAGCCATGGTCGCCGCGCGGAGCGGAGCGCCACCGGCGAGCTTAATAGTAATATTTAGAGCGTCTAAAAATAGAAAAGAGTCTCAAAAGAAGCTGACAACTTTGCTTCACTAGGCTCACACAAGGACGTCCTGTTTTTTTCTATCTATTAGCCTGTTCGCTTGTTGGTTTCAGTCAGGGCTTATCAGCCAGCCAACACCAATCAGGCTTATCAGCTCAGAAATCGATCAGTGAACAGGCTGTATGTTTCGTAGGTAGCGGTCCCCTTGCATGCACTGCCGGATCCGATGCATGACCGGAGGAGAGCTATCTTATGAATGGTTCAGAACAAAAAGCAAGGGGAGGAGCACTCTTTCCACGAATGATTCAATATACAAGGGGCGAGGAAGCGCTGGTCCCAGCTAGAACCAAAACGATCTGCCAAAGCAGCAGCACATCTTTGCCAAAGTACTAGTACGCCGGTTTTGGGTTGATGAAGGAATGCCGTCCGATCAAGATAATAGCACACGCGTCACTGATCTAGCACGGGTTATTTCTACAAAATCAGACGCTGAGTTCATCCAAACTAGCACCCTTCTGGCTACATATAGAAACAGTGACACCCTTCTTGCATGTTGTATGTGGGATCTTGTTTTGTAAATAAAATCCCAATAATACCGAAAAAGAATTACAAATCGGATAAATGGTTAAATAGATATTAGGATTTAAAGCTTAACTATTGAAACATTTTGAACTCTGTGCACACACGCAAATGCCCTGCAATCCATTCAGGAGTAGGGATGAAAACGGTACGGAAATATCCCGTACCGAACCACATCATTTTCTATATTTAATCCGATTGAATTCGTATTTTTGGACAAATTCAAATTTGGTTCAAAATTCGGAACATCAAATTCGAAGTCGGAAAGAAAATGGTTTTGACATTTTTTCGACCGTTTTCTACTTTTCTACTTCTAATTCGGAATATCCCAATTTCGAAATTCGGTTTAAACCAAATTTGGCCCCTAGAAGTCCAGCCTTAGAAAAATTGTATCATTTTCATACGATCTCGGATAAAGATAATTTTTATATGAAAATTGTAGCTCTCGACGAGATCTACAACTTTCTAGTTTTTAGTTTTTTTTCATTTGAAATCTTTAAGATATTCAAAAGCAGTACAGTTATGCTCTGCGAAGGCAGCTCAAAGGCACGTTCAGGTGCCCAGCTATTTTGAATAAACAGCGTGTGGCGGGCCCTATGCTCAGGCTTTACTGCATCCTAGCACCTTTACCGCGTCCAAGACAAAATTTCTATGTCGGTTGATGGTTTCTACGACTGATAAGTCAGTTAATACTGTTTTATTGTGAGAGAAAAAATACTATAACATAACTTATAAGCATTTAGTTGGGCGCCAAGAAATTTTTCAGAATCGGTTGCCGCCTCTACACGCTGTTGGGCTGCTGCGTCTCTCCTCCGTCCTTGTCCATCCCACCTCTTATCTCTCCTCCGTTCTTATCCTCCCGTGACTCAAAATAGATGAGCGTTAGGTTGCTGCTTCTCTCTTCCATTCCTGCCCTCTTCTCTCTTCCTTCTCTTCGCAAGTTGAGCAGCCAAGGCAGCCCGTGATGCAGGTGCGTGGCACCTGAGCGTACGGTGGAGCGCACATCTGCGATGAGCACGAGAACGGCAACAGCCCAGGTTTGGCCGACCCCGGCGAGTGGCGCGCACGGACGAGCGCGGTGGCCCGGGCGTGCCCGTCTCCGACGAGCACAAGCGCCATGGCTGCTGTCCCTGGCGAGTGCGGTCGCGGTGGCGTGCGGCGGCGGGTGTTCGGGCGAGCGTGGTCGCCATATCGTGCGGCGGCAGCTGTCCCGGCGAGCGCGGTCGCGGAGGCGTGCGGCGGGATGGGCGCGCCAGTCCCCGACAAGCGCGAGCATGGCAGCGGTCGTCCCCGGCGAGCGTGGTCTATTCGAGGTGGCGCAGAATGCCGCGGTGCATGGTCGAACCTGGCCGAGCGGCAGCCGCCATTGCTGCAGTGCGTGGCCCCACTTTTTTTTCACTGCATTTTAAAGGCGGGTTAGTTTCTGACATCCTCTAGAAATTAGTTTTCTGAGGCGGGTTAATGACATTTTTTGCAGCAGTCGTGATTTCGTAAGTCAAACTTTCAAGAACGAACAAGTGGCTTCAAAAAAAAAAAAAAAAAGATGTAACGATTCTGAACAATTGGACGATGGTTCCCCAGCTGCATGCCTCTTCCCCAAAAGCTAGCTGAGCAAACCGCAGAAGAGACGCTGGCATCGTCCTACTATGCCATTTATAGAGAACGAGCACGAGCCATCAGATTGCGTTTCTAAGACACGTGTCTACGATCCAGCACCGAAGGTAGCTACCACACCCCGGTGGGTAGTTACCAACCGTTTCAGAAAATTCACTCTAATATAATTGAAATAGTAAACCATAACAGAAACAAAAATTCATGTCAATTTGCATGCTTAGTGGCGCATTCTCTTATCACCGGAGCAACCACTCTCTTTATCTCCTCACAAGAAATAAAAAACATTCCTTTTAAGTTATCTCTGCCTTGCTCCCCAAGTTTTTATAACTAACCACGTGAATCCTTCTCCTTACCTTCCCAATACTGCACAGAATTAATATAAGTACCAAATAGGAAGCAGATTATAATGTAGAGAAAATAATTAGCTTGTTGGTTAAGGATTTTTTAGATTTTTTTCGCCACCTTAATGAAATTAAGGCAAGTTGGGGCCCTGTTCATTATAACTTTGATGCCATATCCTAGTGAGTTAGTGAATTATTATGGAACCT